GCGATCGTTCCCCACCATAGGCGAGGTCTCAACAAGATTACGATACCATTCTCCTTTTCAGTGGTAGTGTAGCCATCGCCCTTTTTCAAGGAAAATGACATCATCTCGTTGTCGACCAGGAACCAAGTTTCGGCACGAGCCTCACTACCACCTGCAAGACTCACATCTTTCAGGAATATCAAGACACAATAAAGACTAGGTATTACATATAACTTATTATATGTATTAAACCATGTGCCTACAGAACGAATATTTATCGTTCAGGAAGCCACATGTTACAAACTAAGTCATAACTTTGCGCAAATGATCCACACTCATCCTTTACAAGCAAAACACATTCAACATCAGAAGTAAAAGAGATGCACGCTTAGAGAATCATTTTTACAGGATTTGAAAAATTATTATGCATATCAATTATTTTGCTCAAAAACGAAGAATAATGACAAAGATGACGTCAACAAGTAATTCATTACAAGTCCATTCGTGTCTGTCTATTACATGAAAACTATATCTTACAAATGCTTAATCATAAAATCAAGTTAGCCAGAGGTATCAATGTCTGTTAAGAAAGTAAGGCATTATTTAGTCCCTATGAACGAACTTCTTTAAGCGTGAGCCAGAAACCCAATCTCGCCCACGTGCTTCATCCATCTCCTCAATATCGTAAGCTCCATGTTCTGTTTTCTTAATGATACGATATGACCCCATCCATCGGTTATCTAATTTCCTCGACCACTGCTTTTCAAGAGAAGAGTCATAGAGGAGGAAAATATCCCCCACTTCCGACGGTTCCTTTCGAACCCGGGGTTGCTTATCTCATCTAACTTTATCCACCTGTCTACTGTCCGTTGTTGACGCAGCGGCCTCTCCAACTTTTTCCTCAGTAGCTTTTATCTGTCTGACCCTCATATCTAACAATTCCTCTGTAGAAAGTCTAACTTTCATATCCTGTTTTTGCCATGTGGTCAGGAAACTCTCAATTGGGAACGTAGCATGTCGTCCAAACCATAACGTAACAGGAGCATACCCAGTAGTCCGTTTTACAATTATATTTTCAACAAATATGGCAGCTCTAAGATAGACGGGCCATGTTGACAGCTTGCCAGCACACCATTTAGCTAACAAATTGGTCAAGGTGGCATGCCCACGTTCGACCAGAGCATTGGCCTGGGAGTGCGCTCTAGTAGTATAACTATAGTTCACTCCCAGCCTTTTCAGGAGGGCATGAACCTCTTCTGCCCGAAATTCACCGCCTCGATCCATCATAAACTCCCGAACGAATGGATACCGAAGGTAAAACTCTTCGATACATTCTGCCAGGATTTTTCCGGTTCGTTCACGGATTGCACGCCCATCAACAAACCCGGTAAGATTATCTCTCGCGTCAAAAATGTATCTGTATCTATTAAGCCCGGGTGGTATAACGACCAGGTCGAGGTGCACAACCGCCCCTGACTCAACCACGTAACGCGGATTGAGAGGCTCGACATAACGGAGATTTGAACGTTTCTGACAAGGAATGCAAGAGCTGCAGAACTTCGCTACCATCTTACCCATACCATCCCAAAAATAGAGATGTTGGATATTTCTTAATGTCACTCGTGCGGACCGATGTCCGCCCGCTACTCCATCATGTAGAGCCGCAATCACATCCAATTGTCTGAGAACCCCACATACTACTCTCTTAGGCATTCCATCGTCAGACTTTTTGAAGAGATGCCCCTGTCGAACGACAAAATCCTTTGCCTTCTCTCTTATTTCTGGCTCTATCTCTGCCTCGTTCAGGTCCCCATTCAGCCAAAGCCCAATCTTCTTATAAATCCCATCATATTCCTTCTCACGAAAGTCTTCTTTATTCTCACTGCCTTCCCCTTCTTCCAACATTAACTTGCCTCGATCTTCCTGTATCAACGAATTAACCAGGAATACCATTCCCCCGGAGATCCTGAGAGCTTCGTCACCCTGCTCATGTCCTCCTTCAATCGTAAGAGGTTCTTCTGAAAGTTGTACTGGGTCGGACAACGCCAACCTCATGATCTGCTCAGCAGACCGTTCGCCCCAAGGATCCTCCTCAATAAAGGGCTCACTCATCACAAGTTCTGAACACTTTTGATAACAACTCGGCGGACTCCAGATCGACTTCCCACGTCGGGACGAAGCGTTAGTGATATATTCCCAACCATTGATACTTAGTTGTTGCTCGTCCGTCTCCAGAAACTCATCCACAGGAACCGAGTCTTCTGCCCGATCTTTCGAAAAATCCCACTCAATCCGACTCAATCCATCTGCTCGATTTTGTGCTCCTGCAATACGCTCGATCTCAAAGTCGAACATCCAGATATAGATCAACCATCGAGCAATAGTCGGATCTGAGGGAGAATAATTCTTCAGTGACTGCGCCAAGGCAGTCGGATCAACTCGCAGGACAAACCGCCTTCCAAACACATAGTTTCGGAAGATCCTGAAACAGTGAAGCACTGCAAGGGTTTCCTTCTTATTGGGAATATTTCCTTTCTGCCTCATTCAGCGTTTGACTTTCAAATCTCAATGGTCGTTCTCGCCCCTCTCCATCCTTTTGGATGAGGACTCCACCCAATGTCATGGGGCCTGCATCCGTTTCAACCACAAAAGGCCGATTGGCGTCATTGTCAAAGCATGGAACTCCCAGGATCAATCCCCCTTCTCGGAATTGTGCCTTGATGTCGTCGACAGCCGCCTGCTGCTTTGGATCCCATTCCCATTTTTTATTTTTACGCACCAACTTCCGTAGGTGCTCCACCCTTGCCACGAACCTGCGAATGAAGATACGCTAGAATCCGCAAGTCCCCAAAAAACTGCGCACATCAGTGATGGACTTAAGCGGAGTCGGCCATTCCAGAATCTTGTTTGTCTTCTTGGAATCTGGCCGACGACCCTTCTCATCGCACAAGAAGCCTAAGATAGTCGCCTCACTCATACAATGCCGAGATTTGACACCGCTGGCGGTGAGGTTGTACTCCTTTAACTTGGACAGGACCTTCTCTACGTTACGAACGTGCTCCCAAACAAACTTTCGAACGCCCGGCAGCACCTCCGTCTCGTCCTTGACACGTGGCCCAGGAATGGCCAAGTCATCAATATAAGGTGAGGTCACGTCCGGACAAAGCGGCTGCATGACTCTCATCATATATCTCTGAACAATCGTTACGACGTTCGTCCATCCTTGAGGCACCACACACATATGAATTAATCCCCTCGGCATATGCATGGCCGTCATCGGCCTGTCTGCCGTATAGAGAGGGAATTAATCGTATCCTGAGTACAAGTCAATGAGAGTGATGATAGGTCTGCCTGCGCACGACTCAGACAGCTCATCGGCATGTGGAAGTCCTCCGGCATCACGAACCGTCATTGAGTTCAACTTCTGCAAGTTCTGCACCCATCGCAATACGCCACTTGGCTTGTTGAAACAAAACCAAGGGGACGCATATGGTCCATACGAGTAATCCGCGATCTTTGTCCGAGTTTTACCGTCCAGATATTTGACAACTCTACGATGATCATCTAGATTCGGATAACGCGGACCTCGTATGTTCCACGGCTCGTGAGGTACCGTATGAATTTTGATCATTGGAATCATGTCAACGTCAAACCTCCATCGCTCGTCATCATCGAAGGCGTACGCCAAATGAGTTCTCTTCATGACACTGACAAGGAAGTCCACCTCCTTTTCAGTAAGCGACCCTTCCTCTCCAATGATCATATTCTTAATCCTCTCCTCCGTCAATCGACACGGCGCCTTCCCACTCTCTTCTTTCCTCATCCTGATTCATTCTCTCTCCTCTTTATAATACACTTCTTCTTCTTGCGTGATCAAGACGGGCACTGGCCGAGCTTTCTCACCTACTCTCTTGTACTTACGTTTTGCTCCAACTCCAAGTCGTCCACCTCTAAAAAAGGCCCTTGCTTAGCTGCTGGCTCCGTCAATACATCACCTTCCGAAGACCTGTCGGGCCGATAAGTAAAATACATTCTACCAGTCCCGCCTTCTCCTGCCACAATCTCTGTCAGCGTTTGGACCAACTTGGGGTCCACGAACGAGTCTGTCGCAACGAACTCGATCGCTTAAGAGATGTTGGGCAGGGCAAGAGAAAATTCATGGGGATCGTTCTCTTCTCCGAGGGATTCCTTCTCCCTCCTGAGTCCTTCGGATTCCGTGAAGGAGTAGGACCCCGGATTGAGTCGGTTCCTTGAATTAGTTGGTCCTGTGTTCTCACACTTCATCACCTCATAATAGCCACATACGGGGTCACACAAAACCACGATCATAGTACCATCATGCTTGTTAAAGATGATGGATTCTGATCGACATAGGAAAACTCTGCCCAGCAATACGGCTTGCACTTTACCAACTTGTATCGTTACGTCACTCGCCATTCCGCAAAAGGGAGTTATCCCACTTGCACCCACCAGAAATCCAGTATCCGCTCGATTGATGTTGACACCTGCCCCCAGGGCTAACGAACTCGATTATGTAGTGGCTGAACGACATGATTCTCTAAGTCAGCGAGTAATGGCTTTGACTCTTAGGAATGGTTCTGGTGGTGCATATAACATCAGAGCGATACTGGCAATCCCTAACGCGCATTCGGCCTCAATAAGGCACGAAGAATACACTACACGAGCATTCACCACCGACAAGGGCGCCTTCGGCGCCGACGAATATGCAATCACGGGATCGGCCTCCCTCGATAATGATAATGAGAAGGTYGASAGAGCCGCCGTAGTAGGGGAACTGAAGGGCGGCAGTCACGAATCGATGGCAGAGGGCGCGGCCTCTCCACAACCGGATTTCTGGAAGTGCCGGCCGAAGCTTGAAACTCTGCTGACAGAACGATATGTTCATGGCAAATTTTGCAACCTTATCGAGGTTGTTTCGGACGTATCCTTCCTAATATACTGCTATGAACTCATCCGTGGTAATCCTGGTAATATGACTCCGGGAGCAACACTCAGGATCAACTGGTTCTCAAAATTGATTCAGCAATTACAAGCTGGTAAATTTGAGCCACACGTATGATGTTTATCTCAGCTCCATCGTCGATGAGCGCCGAGTATTCGCACGGCCCAACTTGCACCTTCAACAACCCAGTTGCTACACAGTGTCAGTCCATTTTTGTCCCAGGCGGAGCCCAACTAATCTCTTGAGGAAAGATATCACTCATCTTAACCGTCATAACCTTTTTCCTTGACAGTCAGTGTCTGAACTCCTCTCGAATTTTGGGCGACGCAGCCAATAACTCCTTGAGCGTGAACAAATCGCGCTGGCTTTTCAAAATCCGGTCCACGATTTGCTCAATATCCAGCCCTTGCTCTACTGGAATTGTGTAGACTTGCTTCTTCTTTTTCAGCTCTCCTTCCCCAACATCGGTCTTGCCCGTTTCTGGCTCCCTCTCCATGGCTCGCTGTTTGGCCTGCCGCTCATCCTCGGCCCGCAACAATTCGTCCTCCTCGCCATCGTCTTCTTCAATCGGAATTGTCTCGGTTTTCCGGGGCTGACTCGGCCCTTCTTCTGGCGCTGCCTTTGGCCGCGGCGGCCTTCGAGCCCTCCGAGCTTGTGGGAGCCCAGCGGTGGCAGGTCGCTTGAAAGCAGGACGGGACAAGACTGTGGTGGCCATTAAACGCCCTGCCGACGGCGATCCAGGCTGTGATGCAATAACATCAGTAAGACCTCCTTGGCCATCTCTGTCCCATCCCCCGAACAGAAAAACTAGGGGAAGCCCGGGCCACTCTTCATTCATGTCGGCACATACTTGAACGAAAGCTTCCCTGCATCGAGTCATTTGTCTGACCACTGTCTGAGCCCGCTGCAGTATCTCTTCCTGTTCCTTGTTCAAACCTTCATCTCCGGCCTTGGCATCTTCAATCGTCAATGACCTCATCACCGCTTCCAACTTAATCTGTTCGACTTCCTCCGGGGAAGCCAGTCGAAAAGTTGCTGAAAGATCTCGTCCCATACGTCAGAAGGCTTCCTTTCTCATTCCTCCCTCCACATTGGGATCGATGAGGTTCCCTTCGAAGTCGTAGACCTCGCCTCTGATATTCGTATATACAACCTTATCGTTTTCGTCTTTGGTAACAGTCTGACAAAACCGTATCCCATGCCCATCTTGGCCACAGTACTTGCAAAACCAATTTTGCCAATTGCCTCGGCCGCCCCCATTTCCTCGGCCTCCCCTAGTGCCTTGGCCTCTACCTCGACCTTAGCCTCGGCCTCCTGCCTGAGATTGGGGCTGCTGAGGAGGGGTCTGCGCTGCCTGTTCCTGATTGCTTCCTTTCCCACCTCCTCCATTATTCTTCCGCTGCTTTTTACTAGTGCCCTGCCCTCCTCGTATCTGGTTCAGGGCCTTCCGTTCTGCCTTGGTCAATTTTCGAGACTTATTTGAGTGAAATTCAATTTATTCAAATTGTAAATAAGAAGTAATTGAGATAAAAGTTGTTATAAAAATTCTAAATAAGAAATTTACAACGAAAATACATACTAAATTTCAATGAATAAGTTCAAAGAATAAACTTAAAATAAGTCTGTAATTCATAATTAATMTATTACATGAAATTCAAATAATTCAATTACAAATGATAATACATAGAGTAAAATTATCAATATTGATAATTTCTTCATTCTATTCATATAGAAACATATTATCATTAATAAAATAGAATAATAATCATCATCATAAATAAATTGAATGAAAATATTCTAGATATAATGTATAGATAGGTATATTTAGATTATATATAGATATATATATCTTTAGGACACTATTATAGCATCTATTGTCATTGGTTTTTCAAGTGTAGAAACAATCTTTTGTATTTCTCRAATACAAGTTGCAGTATCAACTATTCTCATTGGAATGTTAGCAATATAAGGCATGTAAAATTCTTTCTCTAAATATTTGGCAGTCATTAATCCAATTTCACGATAAGGAATTATCTCAATAATTATCAAACAATGATCTCTTGTCATTTATGAAAATATCTGTAGAGAGTTGTTTCAAAGAAGAATAAATAATGAATTAAAATGAATCTGACAAGAGAGATATAAATTCAATGACCAAAGAAACTATCAAACAAAATGAAATTCAAGGCAGAGTATCTGCATGGTTAAGTAAATGGAATATWGTGCATAGACCGCTAGGGTTTGATTACCAAGGAGTAGAAGTAATTGAAATAAAACCCCAAAATTGGGTTTCTGTAGCAGTTATACTCTATATATACGGTTTTAATTATTTACGATTACAATGTGATTATGATTTATCTCCAGGAGGTATGTTAGCTAGTGTGTATTATCTTACTAAACTAGAAGAAAAAGCAGATCAACCTCAAAAAATATGTATTAAAGTACTAGTACCAAGATTGCATGCAAAATTAGCTTCAGTATTTTGGGTTTGGAAAACTGCTAACTTTCAAGAAAGAGAATCTTATGATATGTTAGGAATAATATACGAAAGTCATCCTTCTTTAAAACGTATTTTAATGCCTGAAAGTTGGCTTGGTTGGCCTATGYGTAAAGACTATATAACGCCTAAGTTTTATGAATTGCAAGATGCTTATTAATTTATTCAATTGAAAACAATCATTGAAAGATTTCATTTTCTAATAGTCAATGTTGAATAAAAAGAACTCCTCGTCTTCCTCTGCACTGCTGCTACTACTCTCTTCCTCCACAACAGGTGCTTTCCCCTTCCTTTTCCCCCCTTTCGTCTGGACCATCATCACTTGTAGCTTTAGCCTTTCCTCCCTCATGTCAGCTCATGCTCCGCATGTCAGTCAGGGTCTTGTAAACGGCTTGATCCTTGTCCGCGCTTACCGGTTCCTTCTCGCGGTCCTCCTTTTGCTGCTTCAGGAGACGATAAAGCATCTTGTCGAAGCTTTCAGCCAACAAATTCTCCTTGATCTTTGGCCAGTCGTATCGACCAGTCATATCCTTCATCAATTCCCGCTGCTCAACTTCTGAAAAGTTTTCGAGGAAGATGAGGCACCGATCCTTATCAGGAAGATCAGGCACTAAGCGCGCGACTCGTTCAAATTCTGTGAGAAACTGCTTGGTCGTACCAAACTTCCGACGACTAACTTTCCATAAGTCCGCCAGGTCGAGCAGTTGATCCCCCAATTGGTACTTGTCCAATAACTTGGCTTTGAAGTCCGGCCAGTCGCGCGAGGCTTGCACCAACTCCGACACCTCTTCTTTAGACTCGACCATACAATATCGCTTCCCCATTTGAAGCATCTTCTCATTTGTCCATTCACAACAACTGCCCAATTGCTCAAACTTGTCCGCCCATGCGGAGGCATTGGTGCCATCGAAGAGGGGAACTTGAACTTTCGGCAGTTGTGCCTTCTGATTGTCGACTTCCCGAATGGCTCATGCGAGTTCCAAGATGTCGTTGCGACGATCCCCTGCATTACTATTTGCGGGATCAGCACTTCCTCCCGTCGTCTTGAGAGAATCAACACGACAAACCCACACGTCCAAGTGTCAAATAGATTCCAACAATTCACTCCAAACCTTGCCTTCTTTTCTTTCTCAAACATTGATAACCACTGACTACTTTCAATCCAAACAAACAATACACAACACTTAAAATCGCTATAACCATCCTTTTCCCGAGTGTCGTTCCACCAGGGACAACGGTAGTTTGCCGTCATCCCCGACAACGGCGCCACCTATCGAGCGCATCGGCCCTCGCGTGAATGAGGGCCCTCCCGGCTATGTCACGCAGGAGTTAAAACAAAACAAAATCAAGAGACAACTTAGGACGATGCATAAAGAATCCCACGAACCGCCGAGACGGACGCAGTTGAATTGTCCCTTCGCCGCTGTAGCCGGGTGCGCCAGCTATACATCCCACAGTCCCCTACGACAGGATAGGTTCTCGCGGGGCATAACTTACCTTCCCTAAGGGGCTGTCACCACCCTCAGGGGCGTATCCCTACCGAGCTACTGACCCACGTGCGAAAGTTTTTACGTGCAATTGCAGAGGTAGGTCAGCCGAGGGCGTTTGCTCGCTTGCTGGAGTATAGGTACGCTTGGTTAACGCCAAGCGTCGGGTGGACCCGAACGTTGTCCGTTCCCGACGGCGTTGATCTCCTCGGTACGAACGAGCGTCGGTCGACGAGGACGGCCTCGACCAAACGTGAAACCCAACATATAATCCTAKWCCCTTTATAATCTCCTACTCATAAAATGAATAAAATACATAAACAACATTYCGACTTGATGAGATGATCTGCCAAGGTTATCATTTCCTGCCTACATGACCGAAGAGACAATTATAYTGTCGTCCGAAGACGGAAGATCCGCCGCACACAGCTTTTACWAGGAAATACCGCGGGTACCATGCAGATCGACAAGTGGTCTGACTCCTGGTTGACGTTTGAACTCCCGGTTCGACCATATTGTCGTACCGCATACATCTATTCGGAGGAGCGACTGACAATTATGTCGGTCGATTTGTCCTCCTAGGCAATAATTACTCTCTCTGTTCCACGAATGACGAAGTACCCATCCCCAACATCGGATACTTGGCACGGAGATGTTTCATCTCCTGATTCTTCGCCCTCGCCCTTTTGCTCAAAACCTTCTCAGGTGTTCGGTTTTCATTTTGCTCGCCTCATTTTCCAGCGATCGATTACCCCTCAATGCATTAGCATGATAGTGCCATCATCGGGGTAATCCAGATACTATCCATCTGGTTGGCCTACCTACGCAAGATTGTTATTATTTTTTTTTTTTTATTACCCTGTAGAATCACACGGACGTGCCCCTATTGTACGGACAACTCACCGTAGCACCTGATTCGAGCGAGTGCGCTTAGCCGGGATAAACTTGTTAGCCCTCACAGGCCTCAGCCTCTATCCGCTCGAGTCGCGTAAGCTCCTCGTCGTCAAAAGTCAAGGTGGAGACGAGTTCACCTCGAGAGACTCGAACCTTTCGCGTATCATAGAGAGAAGTCATCCGTGAGACGAGCCTCTAGACTATGGCCCGGAACGGCTGACGCATCCGAAATAGGTGTGTGGTCGAACCTTTCTCGTATCATAGAGAGAAGTCATCCGTGAGGCGAGCCTCCAGACTATGGCGCGGAACGGCTGACGCATCCGAAATAGGTGTGTGGTCGTGGTGTCCTTAATCCGGATAACGTCGTAGCGCTCCCCGGATAGGGTAATTTTGACGCTCACAATGACCCGAGAGAGGCATTGGAGGTTGCTCCCGCGATGGAAGTACAAGGTATATCCGTGAACTTCGTCCGGAAGTCGGGCCACATTGGCTCGAACATCCGCGCGCGAGTTAGGAAAGAATCCCTGCCCACCACTGAGCAGGCCGATAAAACCAATCCACCGTGTGGGCGCTCCATCCCGAACTAGTAATAATCGTTCCGCTCGCCAAATCAGTTCCTCGTCCGTAGTGTCGCGAATTAGTAGATATCTGGCCTGAGTGAGGTCTCGCCGTCCGCTAGGCATCTGCATACCGAAGAAGCCACCTGTTAGGAGAGGCGCTCGTAAACCTCACAAGCCTCGTCATAAAACGTGGTGACGTCGAAACGTTCCGAGCGAATGATATTAAATCTATTCGCTCGGACCCGTCTCAGGTGATGGAGGAGGCCGAACGGACCTTGCAAATCGTTCAAATGGAGTACAATATGGAGGAACATTCCTCTAACCTCAGGAATGTTCTCTACTCCCGGACAGTCCTCGTGAACCACAACTAGGTTCATGTCTCCATGATCTCGTGATGGATTAGGAGGCGCAAAATCATATCGCACAATATGCTGGTCTGGTTCAACCAAGAAAATATAACTCCGCGGTGGTTTCCGCACACTCCGGTCCCAGAATCGTAGCACGTCCCGCTCCGAGTAGACCTCAAGTGGGTTGTACACCAGCCTTCCTTTCCGTACCATGTCGGCGCGGGATCGTGTCGGCACCGCTAACCAATTAGTTGCCGCCTCGTGCGTGCTGAACAGTCGGAGGATCACTGTCTCCACAAGCATCTGAACGATGAAGCCGTAACTCTCGTCAAAATAATTCAGACTTACCCACTTCCATGTTCAATCTTCACCCCCCTTTTCGGACCGTGATTCTCGTGTCACGGTCCGATCGCGAGAGTAGTGCCTATTTGCRCTCCCGTTAACACTAGTTGAATCACGGGCTGGGCTTCTTGTGGCGCCARCCCTCCYACACSTTGGTGGCGCCTAAAATGGCCACCCARCAAGATGCTAGGTTCAGCCTCCCCTTTTCCTGAAAGCACGAGGGGCAACTGCTCTCAGCTTCTAGACACCCTACCCTCTAGGAAGTGGTCTGGAATACCCCTCCCCCTCGCCCRAACACAWTGTTCAGGACTCAGAAGTCGGGCTGGCTCCACCGCAASAGCATGGTATCCCMCCGCCTAAGCRRTCCGCTCCGAGTYGATAACARGGYCGGCCCCTAASGCAACGRACCCCCGCCTCGGATGCCTCMTARAGARAAGAAKCCTAGACCCTAGGTGCAGACGACCGCTCTATGCCTTCYCGGMTAMGGGTCGASTTAGACGRATTGAGAAGAGAAAGAAGTAAAATATTTTGGACGGGCATAGAAGGAAAGTGGTCGATCGGGATAGAATGGGGAAATCCTTGGGAAGATACTAAGGTATTCCCTTATCTTCTTCTCTTTTAATTTTCTCACGGCCTTCATTCTTTCAGCACCCGTCCGTGCGCATTTCCATTATTATTTTTGTTCCTCCTCCTTTCTGTTACATGCATTCAGGTTGAGTGGGAAAAAGGTGAGCATCCCCATTATTCACCCGAGCAAACAATGCTGATTCCTTCTCACATGCATCTCTCATTCTACCTGCACAATCAAGAAAAGAAACAATCCAGAGATTCATTCATCCCCAAAACAAGTCAGCCCTTTCTTCACACGCATGACATCACACTCTTACTCTACCTTTTCCCCTGAATTCAAAGCAAGGTCATGCAATGTGTGGGTTCACGCGGGTGTGTAAAGGAGCTGAGTCACACTGACCTTGAGTGATTTTTATGAGGGCTCGCTCAAGAAAGTCAAATATCTTCACAAAAGTTCGGCCGCACAACTCTCGTTGTGGCCGCTTACAAGGACGAGTCACACCCTCCTTCAAACGCCACCACTGACCAATGCGTCGCTCAGCAACACAGAAGAGAGCTCGCCGCTGAGGAGAGTGTCCCACTCTCAAATCCCACAGCCTCGATGTCACACCTTCCAGCAAAGACAGCGCCAACTCCACCCGCCAAATACCAAGTCAGGTCACCACCTGCCTGCCGCAATACTCGGTGGTTCCGGACCCAATCCCCGCTTACTCGTTATGCCGCAAAAAAATAACAACGGCCTCAGCAATTCTTACAAGTGCCGCGTGCCGCAACGCCGTCAACAAGACGATCGTCACACCCTTTCTGTTCCAAGGTGCACTTCCACCTTGGCGGTACCGTCCCTGCGACAACGTCCTACCCCCCTTCTCGCAGTCCTTTGCAAAATACTGTTGCCACATAATCCAGCAACACCCTCGCCGTACCGCCAAGAAAATCGGTGTTGCCGCTGCCAGAATTCGGCAGCGCTTCCTCTGTACCGCCAAGAATATCAGCGCTGCCGACGCACAATTTCGGCAGCACTCTCGCTGTTCCGCCAAGAATACCAGCGCCGCCGCCACACAATTTCAGCAGCGCGTTCGCTCTTCCGCCAAGAAAACAGATGCTGCTGCCGCAAAAATTCGGCAGCACTTCCGCCGCACCCCCCTAGAAAACCAGCAGCAACCTCAAGGCCACGGCTTCCCCACAGCCTGCAGCACAGCACAGACGGTGGGGCAAGAAGCTCCCAGCCTCTAGCTATGGCTGCCTCCTCCTTCTTCCAAGTGCCACTGCAGACCTCCAGCACTTCGCCTCATTACACCAGCAGTCAGCCATCCAGCATCTACTCAAGTAGAATACCCCAGCAGCATTGCCACAAGTGTGAGGCTGCTGGGTGGCAGGCTAGCTTTTATAGCTGGCTGAAGGCTGAGGGCAGCTGCTTTGCCCCCAGCCAAATCCCTGAACAGAGCCTGGCCCTGGATCAAAATCGCGATCAAGGGCCAGGAAACTTGATGTTCCCCTAGGGGAACCAAGTTATGAACCTTGGCAGTGCATCTGGCCTTCACCCGCGGCCAGACGCAGCCCAGAAACGGTTGTACCAAGCCTTTTTCCAGCAGACTGTTGAATTCAACAGTCTGCAGTCTCATCAAAGCCCAGAAGCTTCTAATATTGCATTTGGGTCTGCGTCGCGGCCAAGTTCACGGCCTTCCCCCTTTCTCAACTCTCCTTCCTTCTTCTTCTTCTTGCCCCTGCACTTGAACTACCTCCGCGGCCACGTTCG